CTCTTTCTAAATCACTTGGTGCAGGCATTTAAGTTTGCTTATAGCGCCCTCAACGTGAACTTTCCCCACCTGAATTCGCAACCCGCGCCCCCCTCCCTCTCCTGCCGCCGGCTCGCCTCTGAACACTTTGGCCCAAGGGTCAGCAGCTAGATCCGTTCCCTTTCCTTCTCTCCCTTCCCTGTCTCCAACCCCCCCGCTACCCCTCCTCAAAGGATCTGGGCTATCCGCCCCATTAATATATTAGCCAGGCAGAACACAAAGGAAGCGCGTGTCAGCAGAAGGCAGTGATTTCAGGCAGAGGCGAGGAAACCTGGCCGGTGCCCTATGCTACAACACGGCTCGTTGCAGTTGGAGCTTGTGAATCGGGCTCCACCTCGGAAGAAGCGGCGGAGAACGCGGCAGGAGGTGGCCCTCCGAGTTAAGGAGCTTTGGGGCTATGCGTTTGTAGCTGGGCTATGGAACCGAAGCAGTAGGCTCCCAGATGGGACCCCGGGCTACGGGAACGTTCCAGAAACACCCCAGTCCCCTAAATCGCGCTAAGAAAATCAGCTTTCCAGGAGTGCAGCACTAGGCGGGAGTCTCCTTGCTCCCTCGTGCATAATGTGTCCTTAAGTTTATAAATGAAACACTCCCCCACCCCTAAGATGCCTCTTACATTCTTCTCACTAAATTGTTTGTGTTTTAAAATAACAACTCCTTGGTGTGTGTGTGAGAGAGAGAGAGAGACGGGGAGAGAGAGAGAAAGCGGACCTGGGGGCATGATCAGACAAGCAAAGGACTAACTGAAATTTCATGGGAGAGAGGGGAAAGAAATTCAGGAGGCTTCCAGTTGAAAACATTTCCCCCCTAATTCCAGGCAATGCTTTGGGGGAGGGGTATTTCCAGGTTGTTTTTCTTAGTTTCAGTAATTTAAAAAAAAAGGAGGGGAAAAAAAATAGTACCTGGCGTGTAATGTTGAAGAGGAGTTGAGGAAAGAAATAGAAAGTTAACCTAAGGCGACCTCACTCAGAATGGCACTGACCAGACCCGGTCTGAACTTGCTCTGGATGTGCCTTGACTGGCATCCCACTTGAATTCTGAGGTCTTCAAGCATTTATTCCATTCAAGCCCTTTCCTTCCCGGATTTTGAGAAAGAATATTGTTTTTATACTCTAAGTTGACTAGGACATAGAGAACCCCAAAACATCAGAAAGTGATTTCTAGAAGGAGGGATGCTCCTCACTTCCCAGGGCTGCAGAGGGGAGCTCATGCTCACCATGAGCTTTGCTCTTACACTGTGCACTCAGAGCTAATATAATTGGAGAAATGAGGAAGTTAGAAAAAGAAAGGTAACAAGGGAGAATTTCCCCTTTGTCAGATTAAAAGACATATTCATAAGAAGGAAAATGCATGCACTTTACAAGTTAAAGTTGAACGGAATGGGTATGTTCCAGCCCCAAATTGCTTAGTAGTATGATGGCTAGAGAAGGGAAAAAAAAAAAAAAGATGAAGGCTGCAGTCCCAGCTGTCCAAAGTTCAATGAACTGAGCTAGACCAGGAGCTAAAAGGAGAAACACCAGTGGAAACATTATGGCCTCAAACTTTACTATTTGGAAGGGGGAAAAAATTAGAATATTTAAAGTAATCTGCTTTTAAATGTTAATTGGATACACTAGGATCTTTTGTAGAAAATAAAACTTGAATGAATGACTTTTTTAAAAAAACCTTTTCTGTCTCCAAATAGATTCTATTTTTAAGTAGTAAGGTTGTAAAACCTTCCAAGTTATTTCATTTTATTACATTCTTACTCTCATGAGTTTCTACACATGTCAATGATTCTTTCAGTTCAGGAAAATCTTATTTCTAAATTTCAGCATAATTTAATTTCCTATATAGTCCAAGGTAGCTTACAAATAATCACCTTTTTGCACATAATTATCTTGAAGTAATTAGACATTATCTTAACTCCATTTAGTTGCAAAACACATTTTACTACAATTCAAATAAGCAATTTAAATTTGATTTTTGAAAGTAAAACATTTGAACAAATTATTAATCTATTACATAATTTAAACAGCTATATCTTTTTAAAGCATTTTTCCTCTTGACATATTGAAGTATCACATTAAAATACATTATAGCTAAATGTTCTGCAATATTACTGCTAAATCAACAGAAGACCAATTGATCTTGAGGAAAGGTTAATTAATTTGGGCTACAGGTCTCCTACACTGGCCTGCACTGAGAGAAATTTGTATCGATCACAGAAGTTTTCTGCAAAGAAATGTAATAAGCATTTTCGTGGAATTGAGATCAATTATTTAAAGTGCCAAAACAACGAAGTTTTCCATTTCTATCACTCCAGGAATTCTTTACTGCCATGGCTTATTCAAATCTGTTAGACTCCTGAGTAAAATAATGTTTTTTTATACTTTCAGTGATATCAATCGGGTATCTAGCTTTCAGAGAATGAAAACAGAAGTTGAGAACTTTAATAGGATTTTCTTTGTTTAATCCCTCCTGCCGTAATGATTCTCACCAGTTTCTTCTACTATGAGGGGATCGCGAAGGGACAATAGAAATTAAATTTTATCTTCAGTTTAAACACTGGTAGCTATCCTGTGGAAAACGCTGAGCTGCTTTCTACTTGGAAACACACATTAAAGTTGTGGAGTTTCTGAACACAACCGGTGAGCTTTTCTTCATCCCTAAATTTAATTTATCAATTTTAAAACAATGTTTCAGGCCTGGGACAAGGTGAAGGTAACATCTGAAGTTCTCCTCCCCAACACTATACTCAACTCTCAAAACCTTTTTCTTGTTTTCTAAAAATGTTTGCTCTGCGGCTAGTCAATGGATCGGAGGGCCTCCGGAGCTTTGCACTTGGGTTTTTCCCTTCTCGCTCCCTCCCTCTCCCTCGGGAGACCCCTCCCCCACCTCGGGCGAAATTCCTAAATAAAGCGAGTCCGGTGGACCGCGGCTGAGCGGTCTGCATCCCCTTTCCGGCCGTCTGCTGCGGGAGCGTCCGAGGTGCAGAAATCTGGAAGCTTCAGGGCGAAAAGGGAGGTGGGAGGGGGTCGCGGGAAGGCGGCGCGCTCCGGGAGGGTCCCAGCACTCCCTCGGAACCACAGATGTTTTCCTCATGGCCCTGGGGCTCCGCGTCCCAGCCCCGGGCGTTCCGGCATTTGTGTGTCCCGGTTTCCGAGGAAGGGATTACGCAGCGGGAGCAGCCGCGGCAAAGCGGGCGTTGGGGCCGCAGGAGCCATAACGAGGCGCCTGGCCTTCTTTGTTGACTTTTAGGTCTCGGGCTCAACAGAAGATTTATTCGCTAGGAGGGGAAAATGCCCAAACAATGAAGAACTAACTGCACTTGTCACCTCGAGATGCTTGCGGTCCTTCTCTCTGTCCTCCTTCCCCGGCAACCGGCCGCGCCGGCGCCCAGCCCGCGAGCGTCCTAACACACCGGGCGCAGATGGCATCGTCCAAAGGTGGCCGAGGGCGCGGCTAGAAAATAGTCTGAGAAGCCCACGAGGCGAGCCCCGCTCCCCGCGACCCACCGGGCTAGGTCCCCAGGCGGGTCTCCAGAGTGGCCTCGGCCGTAAACCCGCCGCGCACTGTCCCCCGCGAACCCTGAAAAAGTCTCCGCCAAGTAAGAGACCAAGAACAGAGGCCGACTTAAGCCTGGTGGGTGAATGCAAGACACTTTATTGCTAATATGTTAGAAAAAGGGAAGGGAACAAAGTAAGATGATTTAGGTTCAGTGGGTCTGGGTAAGATTCCGAGGATCAAGCTCATGCTTTTATATTACTTTTGGAACTCAAATTTGCCAACGTGGCCCACTGTATAAATATAAATAACAATTGGGATTGAAAGCTTTCCCCTCTCTTTGAGACTTTAACGTCCTTCCGAGAGGCCTCTAAATTAAATTTTAAAATTACTCAAATCAATAGTTTCCATCTCCTCCTTTCATTAGCTGAAGTGAGAGCGAGGGGTTGGATTTCTGGATTTTTCTCAAGTGCTACATGGCACCCCTTCTCCCATCTGAGGAGGCAATTACTCGATAATTAAGGGACTCACACAGCTCTTTTTATCTTGTCCGCGGTGAGGAGGAGGCGATCAAAGTAAAGGCTGTCCAAGTTCAAGCCCTGGCGAGGATGGAGTTCATACACAAGGGCTCAGGCAGGCCAGCCTCTGCTTGGGCTACTGTTGTTATTGTTGATGTCAATCCGAACGAGGCTTACAAAGAAATAGGTGGACTGGAAAGTGAGCCTACTATCAAAGGAGATTACTGATTTTGTGATTTCAACCAACTGTAGAGGTGTGAAGTTGCATTTAAAAGCTCCTTAGAAGGCAAACAAATCATCAGTTTTTAAGTTCTCAGGAAAAAAAAAAAGTTGAAACTATTTTTAAAAAATACCTTCACAAAGGACAAAGTACCCGCAACCCTGAAACGTCCTGGTGGCACTAAAGCTTCCCCTGCAGGAGTGAATTAACCCGGGCCTCCCTGGGCCGCCTCTAAAGCTACCATGATGAGTAAATTTTGCCTCTTCTTTAGTAAAAAGACGGTTCTGGATCCTCTCTTGTAGACAACTTAATTTTATCAGCTACATCTGATATTTTATTCTCACTCAAATACTTTTCAGATAAAGGAAAATGATACACTGGAGAAGGGGGGAAGGTAGTTAAATTAATAATATTTAAGTTCATTGTAGGAAGGCTCAAAGGAAGCACAGACGACTTAAGCCCTTGTCAAAAGTTGAAGTAAACATTACAATGAATAAAGAATCTTTCAAAAACTCAATACTTAGGATATTAAATCAATTTATCTACCTTTTTATGTATCTACTTTTATTGAATCTCCTTAATTACTTTTCCCTAGCTACACGTTCATATAATAAAAAATTAAAAAACAAAAATTTTAAGATTCTTTTCCTTTTTGTCATTTCTATTCAGTGCTGGGCTTTGAAAAATATCATATTCAGAATATCCAGTTTGGATTTAATTAAGGAAAATAGCAGAAATTTTCTTTTTGTTAACATTTGATTTATTTAAAGTCCTTAGCTGCAAATGATCAAGAACATATTCCACAGCTTAAAATTTCTCATTTTCATTATTTAAATCAAAATATTTTAATTACAATCACACTGATAAAAATTAACATTTTAATTTGTAATTTTAACCATCATTTAAAGCAATTTCAGCTGTAAAGAAAAAAGAATAAACCATGCAATAAATTAACATTGAGAAAGCAAAGAGGAATAATAATGGAACCCGTCTGGCTATACTAACACCATGTCCAACTGTGAAAAGTGCATTAACACTGAAACAAGCACACGATGGCAATAATTAAAATGGCCACAATCAATTGGATTTTGGAATCTTGGACCAAATTTTGAAATACAGCGTCCTATAACTTATCTCTCCTCCAACATTGTAATAGTATTCCCTTTTTTTTTCTGGAAAAAAAAAATATCCTTTAAATGGTATAAATACAAAGAAGCTAATTTTACACATGTTATATGACCTCAGAATGACATGACCATGGCCCTCTGCAAAACAAGGAGTAGAGTTATTGACAAAGGCAATTCTCAAGGAATTGATTTCCAGGGCTATGTGTGGGTGGAGAGGAGGGGAAGAGGGTGTCTTTGTGACTTCTTGGTCCTGGCAACTCAAGAGCAGGTCTATCACCTACCTATTACCTTTATATGTTATATAAATATATGGATGATGTCTACATATCTGAGCATGTGCATAAATAAGTTCATATATATGATAGATACATATTTCATTTAGAGACATCTGCTATCTGAACGTATCTGAAATGCAAGCCGAAAAACGTGGCTCTAATCTGTTTATGTTTTGCTGTGTAACAGCAGCACTGTCCTTCAGTACTTTTAACAGCCCTACTGTCTACTTGTTTCTTCACTCTTTCAGTTCTTATGGTTAAGAGTATTGCCATGGACCTGTAAACTGTGTGTGTCTGTGTGTGTGTGGGGGGGGGAAGGGGAATCAGGTGAGGAGGGGGAAAAAGCACAAACAAATATTTTACAAGCTTGACCATCTTTCTTTTTTTTAAATAAATCCTGCACAGACTAGAACATGTCTGCAGGGGGGAAGAGGGAAGAAAGGGAGAAAGACAAGGAAGTAGGAGGATTTATATATATATACACTTGTGGATCATTAAACTTTGCAGGACAACTTTTGTTGGTTTGAGGTTGGTTTTCTTTGTAATAATATACACAAGGCGTTTTGAACAACAGTAACAAAGTAACAGTCTTTTGCACTAGGGGAAAGATTGTGCACAAAAAAAGAAAAAAGGAAATAAAAATAGTTGGGATTTCATTATGCTGCTGTCGGCTTGGTATGTGTGGTTTTGTTTGCTGTTGATTTCTCTCTCTCTCTCTCCTGCTACCAGCATGGCCATGCCAGACAGACCCCCGGTCCCAGGGAGCTAAGAAGTGTTTAGAACGGGTCTGGAATACACACCTTGGTAGTAGGCGGGCTCCAGGGCTGAGGGCTCAATGGGACTCCTCGCGGCCACCGAGGCGCCGCCGAGGGGCAAGCTGGCGGGCAACGCGCTGCCGTAGGGCGAGTACTGTAGTGCCTGCTCGTATGCCTTGAAGTCCAACTTGTGCTGCTGCTCCGAGGAGGACATGAGGTTGTTGATGGAGAAGGGATGATTGAAGGAGTAGTGAGGGTCCCCTTTCATGTGCATCTGGGACTCGTGGGGTGCCAGGGCATGCGCCGGGTGGGAGGGGGGCACAGATACCAGCGCCCCAGGCCCAGAGCTGATCGGAGGAGCAGCCGAGGTGGCTGGAGTCTTCAACTCCGAGGCGCCCCCTGTCGCCGCCGCCCCGCCGTGGTCCAGAGTCTGGGGGCTGGCGGCGGGCCCGGGGGCCGGCGCGCCCTCTAGCTGGCCGGCCTTCCCGTGCACGCCGCGATGAAGGGGCGAGTCGGCGCTGGGGTTGGCAGCGCTCGAGGGGTCCTTGCGGCTCTCCGGGCCACCCTTCGGGCCGCCGCCGCCGCCGCTCCCGCCCCCAGGGCCCGGCTGCTTCTCGCACTTGAAGCGCTTCTGGCGGCGCAAGTAACAGCCATTCTCAAACATGTTGCCGGAGTCCGGGTGCAGCGTCCAATAGGAACCCTTGCCTGGCTTGTCCGGGGAGCGGGCCACTTTGACAAAGCAGTCGTTGAAGGAGAGCGAGTGGCGGATGGAGTTCTGCCAGCGCTGCTGGTTCTGCCGGTAATAGGGGAAGAGGTCCATGATCCACTGATAGATCTCGCTCAGCGTGAGCATCTTGCTCGGCGCCTGCTGGATGGCCATGGTGATGAGAGAGATGTACGAGTAGGGCGGCTTGGCGTGAGGGTAGCTGCGCTTGAAAGTCTTGGCGTCGCCGCCGCCGCCGCCAGCGCGGCTGCGGCCCAGGTTGGACGGCGCGTACGCCATGGGGCTCATGCACGGGTTCATGGCGGCCGCGTAGGGCCCCAGGCCGTTCATGGAGGCCGCCGGCTGCGCGCCCATGGCCCCCATGCCGCCGGGGCTCAGCGTCGTCCCCATGGCCGTCACGCCCGCCGTCATGCTATTCATGGCGCCCGCAGAGCCGCCGGGCATGCCAGCCACCGCCCCGGGGCTCAGCCCGGCGCCCAGGCCCGGGTTTGCGTAGGACATGTTGAACGAAGCCGGGGTCATGGTGCCGCTCGTGCTCATGCTGTTCATGGTCATGTAGGTGTTCATGGAATTCATGGTGCCCAGACCTGAGTTCATGTTGCTGACCGGGACGGAGGAGTAGGCCTGGAGCGGAGACAGCGTGAAGAGGCCCCGAAGGGCTGAGTTAGCAGTGGGCGCGCTGGCGGCTACCGGCCCCCCGGCAAATCCGAAAACGAGAAGAAACCATTTCTGCAAAGCCCAAGACCCCCCAACCAGGGGCAAACCGGCGGGCGCCCTCCCCAGAGCCAGCAAAGAGATGTCGTGCACGGCAGGGGGGAAAATCCTAGCTCGGCAGGCATGAAAGACAAGAACTCACAGAAAATATGTCCCCAGGAAGATGTGTAATCGCCTTACACGCCAGGCTTAGGGGCTGGCTTCTGGGGCCCCTCCATCGCCTCTATCCACGCCAGGCGGTATCCCACTTTCCACCCCAGATCGGGCCTCGGCAAAGCCGTCCTTTTGCTTGAAAGGAGTTAAAACTCCGAAAATAGAATTAATATCTCTGACCCTCTGCTTATTCACTCCACCTTAAGCGTGCGGTGGGTATGACAGTGCTTCCTCCCATGCCCCAGCCCCCACCCCTAGGCGGGCAACATCCCCAGATTTGCACCCATCTCGCCTAAGCCTGCCAGGCCTGGGCTGACTGACCACGTAGCGGCCCGCGCTGTTCCGGGTGACTGTTAGTTAACCTCTCCCTGATAGAGCAAATCATCCATGGCCATATGACCAAACATTTCCAAACAACTGGCTTTACTGTCTTAGCAGCTTTCACCAAATGGTGACTTTCTGTTGTTTTATTATATTTAGAAGTAGTGTTTTCCATCTACTTGTAGCAATTGTAATATTAAAAGGGAAAAAACTCAGAAGTTGAGTAACTTTTGGAAAAAACATATATAATAGGAGAAAGGGGAGGGGAGGGTACATAATAATATCAATGCACAACCTGCATTTAACTTTAACATGACTTTACAGCCATTCATAAACTTGCACTAATTTCATTACCTATTTCCAGGCCCCTAATGTTTGAAAGTTTTGGTGACAAAATTTATAGAAATAATCATATTTTTTACATATTCTGATATTTTGCCACTGATCATCTCAAAAGCTGGCTTTTGAAACTATATGAATAGTATCAAATACTTTAAAATTCAAAAATCAAAGTCCACTTGCTTTCTTTTAATGCTATTCTACTTCCCAATTCTAACCTGTAAAGAAGCTTTTTTCATAGAGAATTTAACTGACTAGTAAGTGGAGATGACTGTACCTGAATTAAATCTGAGGAAGTGTTCTGAGCTCCTTCTTAAATCATCAATAGGGGAAAACTCTTATCAAAGGCAATCTGAGAATGCACTAGATATGTTAAAAATATAAAACTACTTATCTGTTAATTTAATAAAAATAATAATATCCTTAAATTTATTTTCATCCGAAAACATGACTTTATTTGAAAACATAAAAGGTGAACAAACATTTAACTAGGTACACATTCTGCTATAGTATGCAAATAAACTCGGGATATGTTTGTGAATGTATACATATATAAATCTAAATAAATTAATTACCATGAAAATATTTTCTGATTTTATGTTTTTCTGTCCATGTCTTAAAGTATATTTTACTTTTCTTTTCCTCTTCCCAAGATTATCCAAGGCAGTTTCAATAAACGTTTTCAATAATGGTAAATTTTTGGAGGTTAATCGCCAGTTATTTCCAGAGAAATACTTTTAGGAGTAGGAGGTGGTCCCTTCTGTACCTGGTTTTCCTCGCAATCCCTTTGTGCACGCTGTATTGATAAAATAAACCACACGAACGTGCCGCCAAGGGGACAATGAAGAGAAACAGGTTTTCCGCACGCCCGGAGTGCTGGAGGAAAAGTCAGTTCGCACTAGCGCCACCCAGCGGTTATAAAGAGGAAGAAAGCACACTTCTCCCCCAAACAGGGCTTTTGAAGAACTTTTACAAAATTTCGGAATCATTTCATTATCAAGAGGCGCATTATTAGCGGCTGCGCGCTTTCATCAGAAGACATCTGAGAATTCAACTGCGGAAGGAAGAAGCTGTCCCGCAGGCGAACTCTAGCCTTTTCACACTTGCTGCCTCCGCCAGCCAGCCAACCTGCGCTCGGCACCCGGGTCTGGGCTCTAGCGCCCATTCTCCGCAAGCAAGAGGCAAGTGCGTCCAAGAGAGCGGGTGCTTTCACAAGAGTTTCCTAAAGCCGTCTCGCCCGCTCTGAGCGCCAATCGCCGGAATCCCGTCCTTGGGCCGGGCTGAGGATCGGGCTCCCAGGCCCGTTTAGCCAAGGCCCTACCGGGGCTAACCTGGGTGGGTAGGCACCGGTGGCACGGAGGAGGCGCCCCCAGTCCGCCCGCCGCCCGCCTCGCCAGGTTTCCCCCGTCCCAGCACGGGCTCCAGGAACGTCCCTCCTGCCGCCCCCCTCTCACCTCCTGTGTGTCCGCGTAGTAGCTGTTCCAGTCGCTGCTCTCGTGCCCTTCCATCTTCACAGTCCCTAACATCCTGGAGCCACCCTGCTCGCTGCAACCATCCAGCCCTGTGCGAAGCGACTGGCAGCCGCGCGGCCCGGGGCGGGGGGCGGGGAGCCAACCCGCTGCAGTCACCCGAGCGCCCGCGCCGGCCCAACGCCACCCTAGCGAGGAGGAAGCCAGGAGCTGCGGGGCGCGGCGTGCTCGGCGGCGGCGTGCCGCCGCCGCCGCGCGCGCCCCTTGGGCCCCCTCCCGCCGAGCCCCCTCCCCCAAACCAGACCCTCACTTTGTTTGCCAAGCGGTGTAATTGGTTTAAGCCGGGAGGCTGGGGGAAGAGGGAAACCGGGGTGGTGGTGGTGGAGGGGGGGTGTAACCCCTCTTTGGAAGAGGAAAAAAGAAAAATAGGCGGGGCCGGGAGGGCTGGCTAGGGTTTTGGATGGGAACCGCGCAGCCGATGAAGGCCTGGGGGCGGTGGCGTTGGAGCCCGGGCTCCTGGGGGTAGAGCCGGCTACAGGACCCCAGGGTTCCCCTGGGGGATCTTGGGCCCTCGGTGCTGCGACCCCGTCCCGCGCCCCTCCTGCCTCCTACTCTTCTGCCCGCTTCCAGCTCCCGCCCTTCTGATTCTTGACCTAAAAGTTCAACCCCGGGAGACTGGAAAATTCAGACTTCCTCCTCCCACCCCCAGCCCCCGCCCCGGACTTCGGGATTGAAAAAGGAAAAAGCCCCACTTTTGCCCCGTCACTAGAAACTCGGCCATCTGAGTCAGCCGAGCCAGGTGACGTTAGGCCGATCCCGGCTCCTGGCTAGCAGAGTGGAGACGCTGCCACGAAACCCGTACCTGCGGCTAAGAGCAGGTGAGTCACAACACCGTTTTATATCTTTATGACATAACTTTTTTTTTCCACCTCGATCCGCTCTACTCCCCCTGTCATCTGTAGCGATCATAAAGAGGAAGAAACTGAGAACAGATGTCTATGTGATAGGGCAGGCGGACCCGAGTCGGGCCGTCCTCCCTCTGCCCAGCTCCTCCTCCCGCCCCCCTTCCGCAGCCTCGGGGACTGGGCTGGAGGCGACCGTCTGGTTTCAGATAGGGAAAGGTCAGGGGGAGGGGACGTCTCCCTAAATACGCGCCGGGAGAGGCTGGGCTCGGGCGCGGGAATGCATCTACTCGGCTCGAGAGGTGCCAGGCCGAAGCCAGCGGTGGTGACGGAGGTGCTTGGTCCCATCTCTGATCTGGAGTGGCCGGGCTGGGACTGGACATCCGTGGGAAGTGCTTCTTCGAGCGAAGCCTCTTGGCTTCTTTGAGGCTCTGGGTAGTGGCTTGCACACAAGCCCTGGGGAGTACCAACTAGTGACTGGGTGGTAGGCAGTGAGTTGGTGAGAGGTTGCGCTCTGGTGCATGTGTGTGTGTGTGTGTGTGTGTGTGTGTGTGTGTGTGACCATGTATGTGCTGTACTTTCGGAGAACCACTAGGTTTAAGTAGCAATAAAAAATCTTTCTGAAAGGACTAAAATATTCTTGTTTGGCAAAGTTTTAAGCTGTTATTAATCTCATTTTAAGAAATGTGTTTTAACTTGTCTTCCAAACAGATACCTCCCCCCCCTCCGTGCTTTGTTCTTATAAACCTTTCTTCCTTGAAATCTGGCAAGAGAATCACATTAAATCCTTGAACCAAACAAATCTCTTAAATCAGCAGGAGAGCACGAGAGGGTGAAGATGTGTAGTTAAGGAAATAAAAAAGATAAAAGCATTGGATTACAATCCCTTTAAGAAAAAAAAGGGGGTGGTGGTGGTGGTGGTGGTGAGTAACGTCACGTTGTAAGGAAAGGCTTGCGAGTGAAATTAAATCACCTGGAACTTAGCAGCCAGTCGCCCTCCTTAACTGCAGCCTGTCGCTGGGACTGCAAGCCAGTCCCATCAATTTGTGTAAATGTATCTGCAAACGTGTGGGTCTGCACATATTTCTCCGGGCGACAGTCAGAAACTTCTTTTGTGCAAAGGTCCCATCAACAGCAGGACCTTAGTCCCATTTGTAAAGTACACGGGTGCATAGGCTCCTCAGCCTGACTGTGGAGGTGGGGGTACTTTCAGTGTTAATGAGCTTCCTTGTTCCTTCCCGCGGTGATTCTCCAACGCCCTCTTGGCTGTTCCACCACATCCAGCATGACTGGGGTATTTTCTATGGGTAGTAACAACTTAGCAATAACTTTTATGGTGCACAAAAAAGCCGGAGCTTTAAGGGGGAAACAAACCAAACCAAAGGCTGTAACCGTAAAGGGAGTCAATTAAAAAGAAAAAAAAAATTCTTCCTTTCAGCCCACATCTCAAACCCACTAGACCTCATCTTACAAAAAATTCAGCTTGAGGGGCGAGGAACGCCCATTTTTCAAAGCGGATGGCCAAAGTGAAGTTTCTTCAGGGCTTCTCCAAAGCTCAAGATCGGTGGTGAAGAGTGGACTCTGCCAGTTTTAGAACCTTGATCCAGCCTGGGGACCCGGTCCGCAGCCCGAGGAATTTCCACTATCACAGCGCCTCCTGTCGTGGGAAGGGAACGGGTATTCCTGCCGCAGGCGCCCCCAGCCAGCACTAGTAGGCGAGACTGGAACCTTGCACGCCTCCCTTAGCCAGAGATTTTTGGTTCCTAGAGCCGACTGCCCGAGGCCAAGAAGAAGGAAAGGCGGCAGCTCGATGAGCTTCTAGCTTCTCCATCTCAGTCGCGGTGTTCCAAGACACCTAACAAATTTACAAGCTGAAGTCCCAGAGAACCCTGCTGCCAGTCGGTCATTTCCCCGAGGTTTAAAAGCGAATCATCAGTGCCCTATTGGGTCTTTGGTTTGGAAAATTAACGACCAACAAAATTGCTGTTTCTAGGTTGCTGACCGGCAACTAGGTAACGAGCCCGGCTGCTGCAGCCTTCTCATTTCCAACCTTTTCTCCCCAATAGGCCCAGCCTTTACGCGGTGCGGAAAGATTGCTGCGCTTTCCGGGCAACTGGACCTGCCTTCTGTGTCGGGGAGGTGGGGTCTCGCGGGGGGGGGACTCGAGGTAAGGGAGCCCCGAGGGCAGCCGCGTGGCGGCTCCTGGGGCGTCCCGGGTTCAAGTGGCCTGCGCCAGGACGAACAGAGTGCGCCTGGAGTAGCCCGGGGAACGGGGTGGGCAGGCTCCTTGGATGGAGGGAGTCAGGGCAGTCGCGATGGCAGGTGCGCGGGTACCTCCAGGTGAACAAGGACGGAAGAAGGGGCCCCGCCCTTCCCGGAAGCTGCGCCCTCCACCCCCTTGGGGTCCGCTCGCCGCGCAGTCAGGCCCTGGGGGCCGGCGGCGCCTGGTCCACCCACCGAACTTAGCCACCTTCGCTCCGCTCTCCCAGCATTACCTGGTTAGGAGCCCCTTCCGCAGATCTCCACTCGGTCAGGGAGAAGTCGAGGGTGACGACTGGAAGCAAAGGCCGGGGGCTTGCGCCTCGGGCCCAGCTGGCTGCCTTTGGCGGCACCAGGTCCTACCTGTTCAGCGGGACCGTTTAGACGCGTGGCAGACAGCAGGGCCCGGGGCGGCGGGGTCTAAAAATGTGTCCCCTTTCCCCGCCAGCCCTCCCCTCCCCGACGAGCCTCGGCCAGATCTCGCCCGCGGCCGCGGGCCCAGGGTGCACGCTCTCTGCAGGGTGATCCGAGGTCCTCCTCAGCACCCCCCCCCCCCCCCCCCCCCCCCCGCCACCCAGATAAGAAGCTTCGATCCTCCACCTCCCGGGAGGATCAGACGCCGAGAAACCAAGACCTGTCGCCTTGCACGCGGTTCATAGTCGCCTGGGACCGGGCCCCGGGTCGGTTTAGGACCGAGGAAGGCTTGGGACGCTGGAAGCAACTGTCTGCTCCTGCGTGTGCCTGGCCCTCGAGGACAGAGGTGTGTGCGGGAGCTGGGGAAAGGCCGGCGCCGCGAGAGGGCGGACCCCAGCGCCGGCCTCGGCCTCCCGCCGCCGCCAAGACGCGGCCTTCGAGTCCCGCCGCCGCCCAGGCCAGGGTGAGGGCGCAGAGGGTCAGGAGAGCAGCGCCGAGCACCTTGTTCCTCCGCTGCCTCTCTCTTCTCCTTTCCTTTCCTTTCTTCCTCTGCCCTTGCTCAGTCGTGCCTGACTCTTTGCGACCCCATGGACTGTAGTCCGCTAGGCTCCTCTGTCCATGGGATTTTCCAGGCAAGAATACTGGAGCAGGGTGCCATTCCCTTCTCCGGGGGATCTTCCCAATCCGGGGATCCAACCCAGGTCCCCCGAATTGCAGGCGGATTCTTTACCGACTGAGCCGCCAGGGAAGCCCTTGCTTCTATCATTACATCAATTTAAGAAATTAATTCACTAGGCGTTTGACCCTTAGTAGGTAGGGGCCACGGGGCCACCTTAACCCGCCTTGTCGGTTCCCTGCGGGGAAGTCTACGTTTCCTGGCCGGTATTTGTGTACGTGGATCCACAGACAGGCACATCTAACGCTTTCACTTTACTAAAAAAAAAAAAAAAGTTAATGTAACATTTTAATCCCGGTTCTTCATCCCTTGGGTGTGTCCCTTCCCCTACAGCTCCTTGAGCCGCTGCCGGGTTTCTTAGCGACCCGGGTCGCGGGCCGGGCTCGCCCACAGCCGGATGTCGGAGCCGGAGCTGCTCCCCACCTGGCCTCCGCCCGCGGGCGACAAAACCGTCTCTCTGGCCGTGAGCAAGCAGCGCCTTGCCAAAATCAACTCTCATTTTCATGTATTAAAATGAGAAAGGTTGGGAATGGCGACCTGCCCTCCTGGGCCATCACTAGCCTTGGGAGGTAGGAGTCAGAGGCCCGTCGGTCCTCGCAGGGAATGCACAAGGGCCTCTCTCCTTGGAGGGTCGCGCATAAAACGCGACACCCCCCCCCCGACCCCCCGCCGGTCCAGGCCAGGTCCCCGAGGCCGTCGCGTGTCTCCAGGCAGCTGTTTCTCCGAGTCACCCGACAGCTTTATTCACGCCAGCTGCAGAAAGTGCCCCAATCCCTGAAGTCTTTCCTCACCCCTGCACACTCCTGGAATGGCTATCTCTGCGTAGTGGTGCCCGTATTGCCCCCCACAGTTACTTGAAAATCGCCAGGGAGGGGGTCTTGGGGGGAGTAACTGGAAATGCACGCTTCAGAGTTGAAAAATTATAGGGAGATGTGACA